CAACTTTTGCAGTTTTTTCCAACCACTGGTGTGCAACGGTACAGTGACATTGATCGCTCGGAATCTAATAAGCTTGCTTAAGCAGAGAAAGAAGAAAATAAAATTCGAAGAAAAAGAAGGATGTTAGAGGAAGCACTGATTGAGGAAGTGCGTGAAAGGTGTAGAATGGAAGCGGAAGAAAGGTTGTCGCACAACTTTAAGGAGAACTCCAAACTCTTCTGGAAAGAAGTTGGAAGGACCCGAAGTGGTACGACGGCCTTAAGAATGAACAAAGTGCTTTCGAGAACTAATGACGTCCTCTCAGAAAAATCGGACGTCATGCAGCGATGGAGCGAATTTTATAGAGAAATGTATGCGTGTGATGATCTTAGTGAGGGATCCGGGGATGACGCCGTGACTGGTACGCCAGACCCGGACCTCGATGACACTGAGGTCATCAGTATGAAAGAGATCGAACGTGCGATTCGAAGTTTGAAATGTTGTAAGACTGCGGGACTAGACAGAGTTACTGCTGAAATGGTCAAGTATGGTGGGCGTCGCGTCTGGGACAGCTTTCATCTGCTGTGCAATTTGTGCTGGCGGACGGGGGATGTCCCGGATGATTGGCGATCCGCAGTCATTGTGCCTTTATATAAAGGTAAAGGTTCACATTTTGACTGCGGGTGCTATCGGGCGATCAGTTTGACCAGTTTAGCAAGTAAAGTTTACTCGAAGGTTTTGACACATAGGATGCAAGAAAAATCGGAAAGATTTCTATGGGAGGCACAATGCGGATTTAGACCTGGAAGAGGATGCACGGATCAAATGTTTTCTCTCCGCATGATCACGGAAAAGCTTCTGGCTGCTAACCAGAAGATTTTCTGTGCTTTTGTGGATCTTGAGAAAGCATTTGATAAGGTTGTAAGGAAGAAAATGTGGGAACTGTTGCCGGGGTATGGTGTGGATGGTCGATTGCTAAGGGCTGTGCAGTCTCTTTACTGTGACTGTAAAGCCTGTGTGCGGGTAGGGCATGACCTGTCACCCATGTTTAACGTCCAAACGGGCGTAAAGCAGGGTTGTGTCATGTCTTCCTGGCTGTTCATACTGTATCCCGACAGCTGTTTACAGAAGCTAAAAGATAGCTGTTTGGGTGTGAAATTGGGTGACATAAAAGTAAATTGTCTGCTGTATGCTGATGATGCAGTGCTTATTGCACCATCAGGGAATGTGAAATTAAAGGTCTCCGTTTGAATGCTAATAAAACTAAGGTTCTGGTATTTGAAAGGGACGAAGAAAGAACGAAGTGTGAAATATGGGTAAATCAGGAATGTCTAGAACAGGTAAATGAAATTGTATACTTGGGGAGTGCTTTTAGCCGGGATGGAAGATGTGATTTAGATGTGGACAGGCGTGTCGCTGCCGGGAACAAAGTCAATGGTGCCCTGACTGCGTTAGTCAAAAGGCAAGGCGTAGCGAAGAGTGCACGCCTTGCAATACATAACGCAGTGTTGGTACCGACTTTGTTATATGGCAGCGAAACCTGGGTATGCCAGAAGAAGTATAAAAGTAAGGTGAATGCAGTGGAGATGCGATCTCTTCGTAAAATGTGAATGAAAGCGAAACGAAGAGATTCGCAATATGACAGGTTTGAAAGATGACCTTATCACAAAAATTGATAAGGGCGTGCTTCGGTGGTTTGGGCACGTTGAGCGAATGAGTGAAGACCGAATGGTGAAGAAAATGTATAGCGCGAAAGTTAATATTAAAAGGTGTCGAGGTAGACCGAGACTAACTTTCGAAGACCATGTGAGCAAATTGCTCGAAGAGGGTAGGGTCAAGAGTACTCGGATACCTAGACGTGCATGCATGAAGAAGATAATGAAACTGAAAGAAGCGAAAGAGGTTTGTAAGGATCGTGACACTTGGCGATCTGTTCTCTCTGGCTACCCCGTCAGGGATTGTGTGTGAAGAGAAGTAGAAGAAAAAGAAGATTCTAGATTCACAATATGAAATTTAAAAAAAAATAAAAATTGGATGAAGAATAATATATCTATATTTAAAGTATTATTACGAGGGGAGTTCAAAAAGTTCCCGGAATGGCGGGGTTGGCGAGGGTGAGTTTACTCATACGGGGTAGTATATACAAGTTGCAGCCTAATCGGATCATTAGCTTTTGGGTTATTAACGAGTGTTTACTCGTTAAGCCAATGGGAAAGAAACTAGCCACTATGAAGAAAATTGAATATCGCACCGTCATTAAGTTTCTCACCAAACAAGGAAAGACACCTCAAACCATTTTTCAAGAGATGTCAGCTCTTTATGGGGACTCCACTCCTGGGAAAACAATGATTTATAAATGGCACGCCATTTTTAAACAAGGGAGGGACTCTATTGAAGACGTCCCCCGACCTGGACGGCCGATTGAAGCTACCATAATGAATATTAGTAATTCATTTATGGGGCAATGTATACGCTTTTACAACAAAATCCCAGAAAATGCACAAAATTAGGTTATTATAATATCAAAGAATACATAAGTGAAGGAAACCCTTGGGAATGAGGTAATCGCCACCATGCTGGTTCTATTTAAAACTCATTTACAAACAATGAACATGTTGTAAAGTGAATAAAGTGAAATATGATTTAAAAAAATTCCCGTTGGATTTCTTACTGGTTCTTCCTAGGACAGAGGTATTATCCGAACCTGTGGTAAATAAAAAAAAATACTTTCAATAAGTATTATGTAATAATCTATATTGAATTAAAATTATTCTATTGTATACCACGCCAGAAATTTTTTTTATAGAAGAGGGGGCAAACGAGCATGTGGCTCACCTGATGGTAATTGACTACCGCCGCCCATGAACAACCGCAACATCAGGGGAATTGAAGGTGCGTTGCCAGCCTTTTAAAAAGGAGTAGGCTCTTTTCTTGAAGGTCCCTAAGTAGTATTGGTCCGGAAAAATCGCCGGTGGTATACAATTCCACAGAGAAACTGTACGAGGAAAAAGAACTCCTAGTAAAACGCACAGTCGTGGACCGCCAAGCATCCAGATGGCGAGGATGGTATCGTGAAATTTGGCGGCTAGAATTAATCCGAACAATTCCTCAGAGCACTCCCCGTGTTAGATTCGATAGAAAATGCAAAGGACCGCAACAACCCTATGCAGCGCCAGTGTATTTTGTCGATCAGAAAGAACTTGGTCGTCGACGATTAGAACCGCTCTGCGCTAGATGCGGTCAAGTGGAAGGAGCTGGCACTGGGGTGACCCGGCCCAGAGATGAGAACAGTATTCCATGTGAGGCAATGAACATGAAACATGAAATACTGTCTCGCTCTACTGAGCACGCCAAGCTTTTTATAGGCCAATTTGGCCTTCCCTTCCAAGTGACCACGAAACTGCACACTATTCGATATGTCGGCCCCGAGGATTCCGATATTAGCTGAGGCAGCAAGGGGAGTGCCTTGAAACTGAGGAGATACGACAAAGGGGTTTTTTAGCAGTAAACGCGCATACTTGTATTGTGGGGATTTAACTGGACTAAATTTAGTCGCCCCCAATCCCAGACAGTTCAGCAAAGACTTGACTTCAGACACAAGTTTGTCCCGGTACTCGGCGAATAATCGAAAAATTGAAAAACTTGTATCGGAAGATGCCCGGCTAAAGAAAAACAACTTCCAGCATTAGTTGGAGTATCAGAAACAACAATTTTAAACATCCTACATCAACACCTTGGCATGACTAAAGTCTGTGAGAAAAAACCCATCACGAGGATGCTTTCTGTGCATCAAAAACACAAGCGCGTCGAAAGTTGTCACGAGTTTTGAACCGCTGTGGAGAGCAAAGGGAGGAAGTTATGGCCCGAACTGTAACTGGCGATGAAACTTGGGTTCACCATTATGAACCTGAATCAAAGCAAGAGTCGATGCAGTGGCATAAAATAGGCACACTCTCTCCTAAGAAGTATAAGGTGTCCCAATTGGCCGGAAAGATAATGGCGACGATCTTTTGGGATACAGAAGGTATCCTTTTGATTGATTATAAGGAACGTGGTGTTTCCATAACAGGAGAATACTACTCTTCTTTACTAGATTAATTAAAAGAAGCTCTTAAAGAAAAAAGGCGAGCAAAGCTTACAAAAGGCGTGCTCCTTTTGCACGACAATGCGCCCGTGCACACAAGCCATGTTGCGACGGCTGCCATTCACCGGTGCGGTTTTGAACAACTGCGCCACCCACTCTACAGCCCAGATCTGGCCCCAAGCAACTATTGTTTGTTTCCAAAAATCAAGAAAGAACTGCGTGGAAAAAAATTTGGCGATGATGATAAAGTGAAGTCGGCAATTTCGGCCGATTCTGATGCCCAAATCTTTTTTTTTAAACGGTATTAATAAATGATTTGATACATCTAATAAATGTATTAGTGTTAAGGGAGGATACATTGAAAAGGAAAAATAGTTTAATGTTTCATTTAATTATCCTTCCCTGTCACTCCACGAATTTTTTGACTCCCCCTCGTAGATGATTATGAACGATTTCTCAGATATTTGCAATTTGACATACAACAAATTGCTACATATACTAAATATACATATTTTGAAACTAAAGTCGAAACCACCAGTTTTAGTGAAAAATCTATTAAATTTGCAACATTAGAGAACACTGAGTATTAGCACGCGCCGAATGCGCCGCGTTATATGACGTTATCAGCATGCCTCCTTCAATATTCGGATATCTACAGCATTTTATAAAATGCGGCGCCGTATGCTGCAGCTGCAATGTGCGAGGTTTCATATGATTTCATACAACGAATTCTAAAATACGACGTGTCCGGCGCGTACGGTGCTGACAAATGTGCGTTCAGCTTTAGAAGGAAAGGTTTGAGAACAGTAGACAATTGCAACTTGCAACAGCACGAGACAATATTGAACGTACGTACGTGTGTACTGCTTACTATCAGACAACAGAGAATATATTGCTGTAATAAATGAATCAATGAATTATATATATTCTTCAACAGCTGGCACCGTCGTGGAGTGGGGCGTAGTCTGGTATCTACAGCGCGGCAGCTGGCCGTTGACTCTGGGCTGGAGTCGCTGGAGGCCGTCAGCAGCCACCTGCAGCTTGCCGCGCGCACTCTGCTGCACTCGCTCGGGTACGCATCGCATCGCACGTGGCTAGCAGTGCTGCAGTGCTGGAGTCGCTGGAGGCCGTCAGCAGCCACCTGCAGCTTGCCGCGCGCACTCTGCTGCACTCGCTCGGGTACGCATCGCATCGCACGAGGCTAGCAGTGCTGCAGTGCTGGAGTCGCTGGAGGCCGTCAGCAGCCACCTGCAGCTTGCCGCGCGCACTCTGCTGCACTCGCTAGGGTACGCATCGCATCGCACGAGGCTAGCAGTGCTGCAGTGCTGGAGTCGCTGGAGGCCGTCAGCAGCCACCTGCAGCTTGCCGCGCGCACTCTGCTGCACTCGCTAGGGTACGCATCGCATCGCACGAGGCTAGCAGTGCTGCAGTGCTGGAGTCGCTGGAGGCCGTCAGCAGCCACCTGCAGCTTGCCGCGCGCACTCTGCTGCACTCGCTAGGGTACGCATCGCATCGCACGAGGCTAGCAGTGCTGCAGTGCTGGAGTCGCTGGAGGCCGTCAGCAGCCACCTGCAGCTTGCCGCGCGCACTCTGCTGCACTCGCTCGGGTACGCATCGCATCGCACGAGGCTAGCAGTGCTGCAGTGCTGGAGTCGCTGGAGGCCGTCAGCAGCCACCTGCAGCTTGCCGCGCGCACTCTGCTGCACTCGCTAGGGTACGCATCGCATCGCACGAGGCTAGCAGTGCTGCAGTGCTGGAGTCGCTGGAGGCCGTCAGCAGCCACCTGCAGCTTGCCGCGCGCACTCTGCTGCACTCGCTCGGGTACGCATCGCATCGCACGAGGCTAGCAGTGCTGCAGTGCTGGAGTCGCTGGAGGCCGTCAGCAGCCACCTGCAGCTTGCCGCGCGCACTCTGCTGCACTCGCTAGGGTACGCATCGCATCGCACGAGGCTAGCAGTGCTGCAGTGCTGGAGTCGCTGGAGGCCGTCAGCAGCCACCTGCAGCTTGCCGCGCGCACTCTGCTGCACTCGCTAGGGTACGCATCGCATCGCACGAGGCTAGCAGTGCTGCAGTGCTGGAGTCGCTGGAGGCCGTCAGCAGCCACCTGCAGCTTGCCGCGCGCACTCTGCTGCACTCGCTAGGGTACGCATCGCATCGCACGAGGCTAGCAGTGCTGCAGTGCTGGAGTCGCTGGAGGCCGTCAGCAGCCACCTGCAGCTTGCCGCGCGCACTCTGCTGCACTCGCTAGGGTACGCATCGCATCGCACGAGGCTAGCAGTGCTGCAGTGCTGGAGTCGCTGGAGGCCGTCAGCAGCCACCTGCAGCTTGCCGCGCGCACTCTGCTGCACTCGCTAGGGTACGCATCGCATCGCACGAGGCTAGCAGTGCTGCAGTGCTGGAGTCGCTGGAGGCCGTCAGCAGCCACCTGAAGCTTGCCGCGCGCACTCTGCTGCAGTGCTGGAGTCGCTGGAGGCCGTCAGCAGCCACCTGCAGCTTGCCGCGCGCACTCTGCTGCACTCGCTCGGGTACGCATCGCACGTGGCTAGCAGTGCTGCAGTGTAATACCATAACATTTAAAATCCCTCTTCGCCTGTCTGGAGTGGCGATGATTGTATTCCCCTTCTATGGGAGAGGCTCATATCCAGCTTTAGACTGCTACGGGCTAGTAAATAAAGGAGTGCCTAAAAATTGTTTACATTCGTGGAATTAATAAAATTGTATTAATGTAGATTTTATGTACACACGCATGCACATGCACACGCACACGCATGTGTGCATGTGATCGCCACGTACAATGATATAGCGTGTTGTTACACGGTCACATTTGTTTTGTTTTTTATACTGAGGGTGCAAACTATTTCGCGGCTCACCTAATGGTAAGTGTCGACCGAAACCCATGAACAACTGCAACACCGGGGACATTGTATGTGCGTTGCCGGTCATTTAAAAGGAGTAAGCTCGTTTCTTGAAGGTCCCTAAGTCTTATAAAGGTAGGTCCGGAAATATGTAAACAATTCCACAAAGAAGTCGTGCGAGGAAGACGTACTCTATAGCTCCTTTAGTCTCGCTAAAACTTGAAAACGACTGGATCGATTTTGATTAAATTTTTTGTGTGTCTGAGTGGGTCTCTGAATGATTTAAACATTAACAATTGGACCCGGTAGGTAATAAAAGTATAACAAATGTAAATAAGGTATAAGGGTTAAAAAAAATTAAGTATTCAATCTTGTCCAACAGGTGGGAAATTCGCGGCACCTACGACCGTCAATTGATTGGCACCGCTCTCATACTACCGCTCGTCAGGCTTGGACTAGACCTGCCTTACGCCTAACTTGTAATCATTTAATCTGGTAAATATACACTTGTACCCGTAAACTAAGTTCTATTTAGTAATTTGTAAGTTCTCGTAAAAGTCCAGATATACAACGTTGCTTTACAATCCGAATCAGTGTCCTTGACACACTTCTTCACAGTAGTGCGCATAATGACGTCCTTTTGATGCTTGGAGAGCTTTCTCTACTCTTGAGCCTAAGCTTTCTAAGTAAAGGGCTGGTTCCACATCTTGAGTTCCTGCTTCAGTATATTCGCTCGCAGTGACGATAACGTCATCGAAGGCGAAGAAACTAGATTCTTCTTAAGTCGTCGACATTGTGTACTTGTGTGATGTAGTGTTCGTACTGCTGTTGTGTGTTGGGTTCATTTTCAAAATATTCTCTTTAGCGTTCGGCGTAGATTAAATTGGGGCAGCGCTGACGAAAGCAATATTGCTAACTTTGTACCAAACTGTACAAATCTTAACAACCAATTGTGCTCATTTTGGACGTGGTAGAGCCATGCTGAAACTATATTAGTAGTATAGTTGTAGCACGAATGGATCGGCTCGACCGGGGAAAGACCACGCTCTCACAGAATACCAGCGTAAAATAGCAGTTTAAAACTGCTGTGTTTCATATGGTGAGTGTAAAGAACCGGAGACCCTTTTTACTGGAAAAGAGGCATTCCATCTTAGTCCGAACGGGTGACAACGCATCTGCATTTTGATTCGCAAGCAAGGATGGATGTAGATGTCTATGGGCCACAGCAACCACTTACCATCAGGTGGACTGTGTGCTCGTTTGTCACCCTATCCTATAAAAAAAAAATACTTTTTACTGGAAGGATATACGTACGTTGTTGTACTATATAACTGTTGATGAGAATTTTTTGAATATTTATTAAATACCAAGTAATGGAATGAAAATTTCGAACAACCTTGGGGAATTACCACTTTAGTTATGTGGTCACCAACCATCTAACTTCTTATTTTTCAATTAAAATAATCTAAAATATTATTTTTGAAATATCGTCGACCTAATTATCAAAATTCGTAAGTCCGAATGAGATAATTTTACAGGAGCAACGAAAAACCGTTTTTTGTTTTTATATTAAGATATTTTTATAAAGTCGCTGTTACTTTGAGTTCAAAATGAGTGTAGATTCATTTTTTACTAAGAATATTATTGATTTTGCAGGTAATTTATAAAATAATGGACTTACGAGTTTTAATTTTTATTCAAGTTGGACTTACGGCTTTTTCTAGGATATACGCAGTTTTACGTTTACATTTTTATCAGTTTTTATACAATGCAGATGACTTACGCAGTTTTATTATTCCATTTTTATATAGGGGGGATTAACGAAAAAATAATGCACTCTTAGAATCACCTTTGTTTTTTATTAATCAAATAACATAATAGGAACTTCTATTAAAAAAAAACTCTTGTAACATAAAAATCAATAACTTTCATCAGTCTCTAATGTCTTAAAAATAAAATTACTTTTAACAATAATTGTTCACTCTTTGGAATGGGTAAAGTAAATAAAACTAGGTACATTAAACAATACTTGGTACTAATCAGATAAATGTAGGAAGGCCTTAGTGTACCTTAAGTGGGGTAGGTTATCATAACTTTTATAATCTTAGTAGGTACCTACCTACCACATCATTAGTGTAACTAGTTAGGTATGTGGTAGGTTATCATAAAAGTTATGATAATCTTTCTCCATGGTATGCTTGAGGTTCTGAAGATCCTGATACTTCTCTTTTTTAATCTTCAGCCTTGCCGAATAAAGCTGAGGAACAGTATCCCACGGAATGAAACTGATTGTTTTAGTTCTTGTTGGGAGCCCTTCCTAATCAGTAGCTGAATGTCTCAACTTGAACTCAATTCTTCCATCTGGAGTGTACTTGAGAGTCCTTATGTTTGTGACTGTAGGGTCACCTATTCTTTTTCCAGGTCTGATTGATTTGTAGAACTTCAAAGTATGTTCAACATCTTTAAAGAAGTGGTGATAGAGATACTGTACGTCATAGGGATTTTTCTTGCAAGCAGTTTTGGCTATGTAAACATAGTCGGCCGGAATATTTATCTTTTTATTTTTTAACGCTCTTTCTATGACCGAGTGCATACTATCGCACTCCATTTGCGTATGCCCTTTTTCGAGGTACTTCTGTTTGATGGTTACTTTCTTTTCCATGCTGTAATTCAGTAGAGCATTCGATAGTACCACATTTCGGTTCTGGTAGGTACAACCGTCACTGTAGATAATTATTTCCTTGTTATGTTGCGTTGTGTTTTGTGTCCTGAACTTTTCGAAAGCTGTCACGATTATAGTCGAAAATTCATTGCTCGTCAGTTTTCCTTCGCATTCGTTCCAAATATAACAGTAACCCAAATTTCTTTTACAATCGTAAAGTGTGAAATTATGCACAATGAGTTTGGTCTTATAGTAGAGTGCCGAAACATTCGAACGTGGGCTTAAAAGCACCGATTGTAAATCCATGGTAAGGACTTCGTGTTCCATGGAAATGTCCTTAGCGAGTTCTTTTCGAGCCTCGTCTTTCTTATCACGATGAGTTTTATAGTCAATATCTGAAACATTACCAGCTTTGTAAAACTCACAAATATCACACAAGTACTTTTTTGGGCTAAATAAAGACAAATTGAGTGTTTCAAACATGTTGAAAAAAGTGGTAATGCTTAATGGCTCAAGGTTCTCTCTGACACAGAAGTCTTTTCTGTAAGTTTCATAGAGCTGAGATTTTGATGTCCAGATTGGTTCAAGATACAACTTTGACGAGTCTTTTCGGCAGTAGTGTGATTCAAGTTTTGGCATAGAATCAAAAAACTTGCGTAACTGGTTTTTAGCTTCCACTTTGGTATTATTTTTCGGTGCATCTTTGGGATCATCTTCATTAATAATCCACTTCTTTATCACCCATTCCCCAACACCTAAACTGTTAAGGAACATGGTTTTGCAGACCCGAAATCGAATCCCCGTGCTATCAGTTAAATATAACTCTACAGAGTTTTTCCGCCTAGATGATGTACCAGCACACCTCTCTCTTTCTTTTTTCTTAGAAATCGAAGACATTTTAACAAACACCTTCTTTTCCTTCCAACTCATTTTCCAAAACTTCTCAAACATTGTTTGTCTTTCATCTTCTGGTATTTTATCACATTGCATCTTGATATCCCCTTTCCAGCTTAATTTGCATTTGCATCTACTTACATCTCTCTCGCGGGCTTAGGTTCAATAAAGCCCCATTTATTTCCTCTCTACTTCTTTCCTAAATAAGCCTTACCTTTTTCTCTTTGTTCCTTGTTTTTATTTGCGTCCCATTGGTGGGGTTCACTTTTCTTTTGTCTTTTTCTTGGAGGCGGTGACGAGGTAGTGATAGCCTGCTCAACTGTTTCTGATGACGTTAGATCCGAATCTAATGGAACAGAGCTGATGCTTTTTAAAGAATCTTGGCTCGTGGATCTTCGGCAGATAGATCTATCATTATTAATTAAGATGTTAAAGGGGCAGTCCCTCAATACTTAATAATTATCTGTTAGTACCACGGAGCATCCTGGTTTAGTGTGTTCTTCTGATAACCTCGGCGTAGAAATATCTACAGGTTCAACCGTTTCTATGGGATTCAGAGTAACACATTCAGTTATTGATGACTGTAGATCTGAATCTAATACAACAGGAATGCTTCTTGCAGAATCTCTGTTTGTGGATCCTTGATGAGATCCATCATTTCTAATCAACACTATTGAATTGTCACACTGTACCACGTAGCATCCTGGTTCGATGCTCAGTTTTTCGGGCGGAATATTCCGAAGTATTTTTGCGGCGCGTGAATTTTGCAACATTATGTAGGTATGTATTTAACTAAAACAACGAAAATAATGCTTAGAGTTAGACAAAGTAAAAAACAAATTACTATTCAATAAATTCAAAGTTCGTATCTCCATGGTAAACAGTCACAACGCAAAGCTAAGCAAACAATCAAACTTCTTAACTCCATCCCATAGCAAAATAACTAATTTCGCTTATTAATTGCAAAATTTAATAGCTAGATCAAATAATAACATGAAACAAACTCACCTTCTACTCTATTCTATCTAAATAATCACATTTATCACAATATTTGTCTAAAAAGTTAACCTACGACATGACGTCCACACCTCGGAGCTCTCAAGCCGCACTAAACGCGGGAGTTACGAATATTGCAAACAACAAAATGGCGTCGTGGAGTTACGTATTTTTATAAATGTCGAATAACTTTTTAAACAACTTTCCGCGGGAGATACGAAGTATACTATCAGATGCGTTTTAAGATTTACCGATAGATGGCATTAAAACAAAAAATAAACATATTTTGGAGTTATGCATTCTTATAATTAGGCCCACGAAATGTGGTTTTTATGTCGCTGAGTAGCAGCACACTAGTGTACAACTCGCTGGAGGGTGGCAGGGTGCTGTTACTGGGATTAATTAAGTTAGTGAGACATTGCATCTTCTTCCTTAACCGTTTAGTCCGCAAAGCGTCCGTGTCGAATTCAGAGGACTGTTAGCTCATTTATAATATCATATAAAAAATAACAATATATTTATTCCATTTTTATATGTAGTAGGAGTGAAATTCGGTAAGATATATAGCAATCAAGCTTAAAAAAGTATAAAAAATTAAGAAATAGATTAGTGTAATTTCTTGAGGGAGACCTATCTTCAGAATTGAACTTGTGAAGGACTGTAACGTTAAGTATGATATAATAATATTTATGATTCCAAAACAGAGTCCTTTTGATTTAGTAATTTAAGCCTGCTTTCCAAGTTTCTTAGCCAAAAATATAATAATTATTATAAAATTATATAGACATTCTAAAAATGTAATGTGAAGTATACTTTAGAAACTAATATATGTATGTAATAATATTTGCTCAATATGTAAGTGCGCGTTAGGAGGAGCAATCTCAAATATTGTGATATTTTCCAATATAAAATAATTTGTATGTATAGTTGGCTGGACAAAGAATCTCTGCCTTTGTTATTATAATGTGTATTTGTTATTGTAATCATGATAGACTTATTACATACAAGAGATCTTCCTGTAAAGAATTTTGATATGCAAAAATTAATGTAATACTGATAAGCATTTATAAAAAAATATATTTTGTACCAGTCTTTTTGATGAACTTATTAAAAATTATAGCTTACAAGTAACTAACGAAGTTTTTATTTCCCTAAGCCTTCTCTATCCATTAACGTGTCCTTTGCGCGGAACAGAAGCTCCAACTTCGATGCTCCAACTGCCACCTGAAATTAAATTCAGTATTGTTATTTCGTGTATAATAGAACTAAGTCTACGATTACACCTTCCACATCATCTCGATGGTTAGCAATCCACCACCGGGAGTTTTTCTAGAAACTTCTTGTAAAAGATCCTGCTCTCTGTAAGGTCAGTAAAACACCTCGGTTATAAGCCCCACAAATTGGTAATGCGCTGGAACCTCGTCACATTAACATCCACGTGACGTCATTCGCAATTAAAAAGTACAATGAATTTTTTTTTAATTTATACTAATATTATTTATGTGAAAGTAACTGTCTGTCGCTTTCAATTTTAAACCGCTGATAAGCTACAAATAAAATCAACTATTTAAAAAAAAGTTAATGTTCATTTTATTTCTACATTTAAAAAATTTTGTAATCTAACCCAATTCCTCAACTCCACTCATATAATCTACATCGGATATAGAATTGGTTTCCGACATTCTGAGTCAAAAACAAGCAAAAAAATATTAGTATTAATATTATAATTAATAAACAATAATTTATATATAATTAATTATATTAATTAATATTCTGACTTAACAATAAAAAACAAACCAGATAACTAGAAAAAATAACAATAAAAAATGTGCGTGTTCACAACTCGATACGCGTACTCGCCGGCCAGTATTGCTAACTAAATTTGCGGGGCTTATACGAACGTTCATTGGCGGTGGTGGTCATGTACCATGAGATATTTTTGGTTGTGGCAAATCAGTTGCTACGTATGCCGTGGCATTGGCAAAATTGATTGTACAAAACTTTGCATCTCCATTTACAGGCACACATTAGCAACAGGCAATGCTTCGATGAATTGGTCGGATAAATTCGCCGTTTCAGCCACATCACCGTTTCATTGTGACAAGTTTCACCATAGTCATTGAACAACAAAATACTAGATAGTATAGTCGGCAACTAATTTGGCAAGGTTTTGGCGTAGTGGGGGAAAGTTTGCGCTTGTACCACGGAACGTGGACGGACACGTTGCGGGAGACAAGAGTCGTCTGGCCAACCAATCTCGCGCTCGGAACGATGCTACCTCGTTCCTCGCGCCCCGCTCGATACAGAAACTGAAACAGAAACTTTTTTATTCAATATAGATTATAAATAATACTTATTGAAAGTCACTCTTTTGTATGATTACCACTGGTTCTAACTAAAGAGATCTAAAAAACGACTTCTGCGCATCTAACGAATCTTGCCCAGTTAGACGCTGGCAACTATACAAGGAATAATTTAAAATTTTGTACTGCCGACTGCAATATAAGTTATTAAGAATAACTCAAAAACTATTAGTCTGACCTTGATCAAATTCATATGGGAACACACGAGACCGGTTAACTCACTAAAAAGTTATGAGGTAATACACATAAAAAAACACAGTCGAATTGAGTACCGTCTCCTTTTTGGAAGTCGATAGACAAAAGGATCACTGCAAAAAATTTGAATGAATAGCTACTCTCGTTACGACGCAATAAAGTGCAATTAAGCTCGCAACGCTGTCTAATATTATATTCAAAGGAGAACGGAATATTTTTTTTCGCACGGGTAATTTCTGGATCTTTACAACAGCTCCACCTGCCGTGTCCAATTGTGAATCTAAACCATCTAGGGATCCACTGAAACGCAAAAAAATTCATAAAGATCGGTCCAGCCGGATACAAGCAGTTATTGATTTATATTTATATTAGGTCTTTACCTATGAAATTGTCGTTGTTTATGAAGTAAGTTAACGTATTTTTTTTCTATATTTTTTATTTCTATCACAGTAAGCACTCATGCAATCGATGGATCTTTCATCTTTGCCAACGCAGTGGGTGTTTATTGATTCTCTTGAAGAAACCAGCTGACCGGGAGGTAACAAATTCTTCCAAGACATTTTGTACTGCTTCTCGGGTATTGAATCTTTTTACCGTCAAAAACTTAACCAAATTCTGGAAAAAGTAGAAGTCTATAGGCGCAAGGTCTGGTGAGTACGGCGGATAACGGAGAGCTTCCAAACCCTAGCTCTAATCCCCAACAGTAATTCTCGTCCCGTTTGGTAAGAAGCTGTGATGAATCACACCGAGGCTAGACCACCAAACAGTGACCATCACTGTTCTAGGGGTAAGTTTACATTTAGGATATTGCTTAGGAGCTGAACTGAAAAAATTGCAGTCAACAAGTGTTTGAATTTTTTCTTTCTCTTTTCATATGGTTGAAATTATCGAGTGTGATACACCATATTCATTGTAGTTTATTGATTGGAACTCCGCTCTCTAGCTTTGATATAGTACGCGATTTTTCTTCGGAATTGATTTATTTCTTTTTCTTTGCGACATGTTAAGTTTCACAATTAACTCAACAATATGCTTTGTTGAGTCTTGTGTATAGATAAGTAACAAACTAAGTGAATAGATATATAAGAATAAGAAAGCGGGCTTTCTTATTCTTATATATACTACTGCTTGCACGTGTACTTTGTTTCTGAGAATTATAAAACACCTAAACACAGTATAAATAAATATGAACAGTACGGAAACTAAGCCTAGTTGAGGACATAATTACCTACGCTCCGTTGAAGCAATAGGGTTGCAACTTTTAATGTTTTTGATATTGTTTTTTTTTTTACATTTTTGTTCTGTAGTGATCAATCAATCGAATTTAAATAACTAGCTTACAAATACAATTTAAATAGGTAATCTCATGGCGTCGGTTAATCTCAGCAAGACTATAGTTTAGACATGGAAAATAATTTAAAAAAATTAAATAATTGATACCTATTGCAACCGCCATCTTGGATTTATATTTCGACAGCACTATCGGCTTCAACAATACCCATGAAAATGGCACCCATGACGAAAAAATTAATACCTATTGCA